ACAAACACGACAAAGAAAGGCAACAACATTGTGGAATCCAACCAAAAAGACCAGAGGAAACCATAGGAGAGGAAGTCAACGGAAACAAGAGGAACACAAAACAGGAGAGGAAGTCAAAAGAAACAAGAGGAAAACAAAAAGGAGGCCAAAAGCAACCGACATTGTCTGCCTTTGCTATCAGCAAAACCCAAAGGAAACGAGAGAAAAACAAAGAAAGTCACAGCTTGGGTGCTGTAGATCCCCCAGCAAAAAGTTTAACTTGCAGGTTGAAAGGCAATATGAGGGGGTATCCAGAAAGTAAAAGTCTAAATATCCACTCCACTAGCAGTAGAAACAGGAAGCCAAAACTTCCGACCCCAAGGCCGTGGGAAGTGACCACTTTAGTGATACAACAAGAAGGGCTTCCCAAAGACTAACCCCCCCACAAGGGGGAGATTCCCAAAAGAATCACAAAAGTGGTTGGATAACCCCGAGTGATCAACCACAACCCTGCTAGTGATTCCCTTCAAAACTAGAGGAACATCTTGACTGGGTCTATCTTTTAGGGGACCCCAATTGATGGTGGCTTTCTTTTTTAAGGGGGACATCCACCATGTTGGGTGGGCTCATCAAAAAAGGAAAGGGACAAACCCCCATGACCCATCCAACTGGTGGTTTCCTTTATTCGGGGACCAAAGCCTAGGTTCATTCCATTGCTCATTCCCTATCGCACCGATCGCAAGAATATGGCCATGGGTCAAAATCCAAATCGTACCCCCAGTGAACATCCCAATCCCCACCAAAATAGGTTCTAAACTGGGTGGTGAATTCACCTAGCAACCAAAATAGGATCCCGTTCATTTTACTAATCCCATGTGGACACTTCCCCCCAGTGAACATCCCAAAAATTTCTTCAAACAGGGTTCGTTTGGGCGACAACCAGGTTCAAGGCGCAAAAAAGGGGGGCCAAAACCGGTCCTTGAATACCCCCCAGGAATATGGCCATGGGTCAAAATCCAAATCGTACCCCCAGTGAACATCCCAATCCCCACCAAAATCGGTTCTAAACTGGGTGGTGAATTCACCTACCAACCAAAATGGGATCCCATTGGTTTTACTAATCCCATGTGGACACTACCCCATGGGGAATGGGATCCCATGGGCCCCATCCAAATCGTACCCCAGTGAACATCCCAATCCCCACCAAAATCGGTTCTAAACATTCACCTACCAACCAAAATGGGATCCCATTGGTTTTACTAATCCCATGTGGACACTACCCCCAGGAATATGGCCATGGGCCAAAATCCAAATCGTACCCCCAGTGAACATCCCAATCCCCACCAAAATCGGTTCTAAACTGGGTGGTGAATTCACCTACCAACCAAAATGGGATCCCATTGGTTTTACTAATCCCATGTGGACACTACCCCCCAGGAATATGGCCATGGGCCAAAATCCAAATCGTACCCCCAGTGAACATCCCAATCCCCACCAAAATCGGTTCTAAACTGGGTGGTGAATTCACCTACCAACCAAAATGGGATCCCATTGGTTTTACTAATCCCATGTGGACACTACCCCGCAGGAATATGGCCATGGGCCAAAATCCAAATCGTACCCCCAGTGAACATCCCAATCCCCACCAAAATCGGTTCTAAACTGGGTGGTGAATTCACCTACCAACCAAAATGGGATCCCATTGGTTTTACTAATCCCATGTGGACACTACCCCCAGGAATATGGCCATGGGCCAAAATCCAAATCGTACCCCCAGTGAACATCCCAATCCCCACCAAAATCGGTTCTAAACTGGGTGGTGAATTCACCTACCAACCAAAATGGGATCCCATTGGTTTTACTAATCCCATGTGGACACTACCCCGCAGGAATATGGCCATGGGCCAAAATCCAAATCGTACCCCCAGTGAACATCCCAATCCCCACCAAAATCGGTTCTAAACTGGGTGGTGAATTCACCTACCAACCAAAATGGGATCCCATTGGTTTTACTAATCCCATGTGGACACTACCCGCAGGAATATGGCCATGGGCCAAAATCCAAATCGTACCCCCAGTGAACATCCCAATCCCCACCAAAATCGGTTCTAAACTGGGTGGTGAATTCACCTACCAACCAAAATGGGATCCCATTGGTTTTACTAATCCCATGTGGACACTACCCCGCAGGAATATGGCCATGGGCCAAAATCCAAATCGTACCCCCAGTGAACATCCCAATCCCCACCAAAATCGGTTCTAAACTGGGTGGTGAATTCACCTACCAACCAAAATGGGATCCCATTGGTTTTACTAATCCCATGTGGACACTACCCGCAGGAATATGGCCATGGGCCAAAATCCAAATCGTACCCCCAGTGAACATCCCAATCCCCACCAAAATCGGTTCTAAACTGGGTGGTGAATTCACCTACCAACCAAAATGGGATCCCATTGGTTTTACTAATCCCATGTGGACACTACCCCCAGGAATATGGCCATGGGCCAAAATCCAAATCGTACCCCCAGTGAACATCCCAATCCCCACCAAAATCGGTTCTAAACTGGGTGGTGAATTCACCTACCAACCAAAATGGGATCCCATTGGTTTTACTAATCCCATGTGGACACTACCCCGCAGGAATATGGCCATGGGCCAAAATCCAAATCGTACCCCCAGTGAACATCCCAATCCCCACCAAAATCGGTTCTAAACTGGGTGGTGAATTCACCTACCAACCAAAATGGGATCCCGTTCATTTTACTAATCCCATGTGGACACTTCCCCCCAGTGAACATCCAAAAAAATTCTTCAAACAGGGTTCGTTTGGGCGACCACCAGGTTCAAGGCGCAAAAAAGGGGGGCCAAAACAAACCGGTCCTTAAATACCCCCCAGGAATATGGCCATGGGCTTTTCAAAATCCAAATCGTACCCCCAGTGAACATCCCAATCCCCACCAAAATAGGTTCTAAAATGGGTGGTGCACCTAGCCCAAAATGGGATCCCGTTGGTTTTACTAATCCCAAAATTTCGTTCCAACCGCCGGTCCTTCCTCACTTCCCCGAAGAGCTTCAGCACCTGGCGCCAGGCGTGCTGCCGCTCGCAGACCTGCAGCGCGGAGCTGTAGCTCACGAGGTCAGGGTGCCCCATGCGCGCCAGGAAGTGCAGCGCCAGCCTACATTCTTGGGGCTGCTTGCTTGTCTTTTTCTTGTGTTGTTTTTTTTTTGTTGTTGTTTTGTTTTTTTGGTGTTGTTTTGTTGTTTTGTTGTTGTTGTTTTTTTTTTTCTTTTGTTGTTGTGTTTTGCTTATTTTGTTGTTGTTGTTATTTTGTGTCTTTTTCCTTTTTTGTTAAATTGTGTTTGTTCTTTTGTGTTTTGCTTGTTTTTTTCCCAAACAAATTTACGGTTGTTTCCACAAAGGACTCTGAATGCGGATGGGAGCGCAAACAAGGACTGCTGAAAATGGAGGCTTTGCCAGTTCTAATCTTAAGGGTTGATTCCTTGTCCATTCTTTCCAGCCATCGTTCTTTTCGAAAATCAGCCGTTTTCTCTGGGTTTCTGGAGGTTTTCTAGAAAGAAGGATCCCTGGAAAGAATGGGGGAAGTACCCCTAGACAAGCCTAATTGTTGACCCAGGATTAATACACCCCTGTTGAGTAATATGGGGGTGTCGCTGGTTTTAGTGGGGATTCATTACTTTTGGAAGGGAACCATTATTCGGGGGTCTGAATCTCCACAAAAAGGGGACACCACCCTATTAATCAACCACGGGTTTATTAATCCGGGGTTTACTTCCATTTGGCTTTGCGACCCCTGGAAAAAATGACAACATAGTTCACGTAGTGAAAACGATTGCCTTTCACAGCAGGGGAAATAAACCACATTCTTAAGCTCAGTTGCCCAAAGGACCTGGAACTAAAAGGTTGATCTGTTGGGGCCATGACTAAATATGGACCAGAATGGAAAAACCCAAAGGTCGAAAGGTCGATTCGCCTTGAACAACTGAGTAAGCAAATGGAAGCTTAGGTCTCACCAAGGACCACGTGGGAGGTTTGCATCGCTTTAAAGTGATGGGTTTTTCTTTCCAGCGAGCGCCACGGGCGCCAAGCAAGCAAGCAAGCATTGGTGAGCGTTGGATTGGTAAGGGGCCGAATATCTGTTGAATGGGGTTACCTTTGAATCCAAGTTTCATGACCTCAGTTGCCGCAAAACCCAGAAAGAAATGATCACCTTTTGGGGCCATGACTGCAAATGGACCAAAATTGGATGACCAACTAGGTTAAAAGGTCGATTCGCTGTAGGCAACTGAGACTTTGATACTGGCACTGCGGGTGTGTCTTTTTAAAGGTTGGACCCCTCCTTCAATGGTTTCTGTTTCCCACGGTTTCCCTTCAAAACCAAGAAACAAAGGCACACTGAAAAAAGACAGGCTAAAAGTTTCCAGAGCTGGGTTGCACAGGTTCTTGTCTTTGTTTCGTTGTTTCCATTTACCAAGGGGCCATTTGGGGACCTTTTCTTTTGAGCCACAGCCATGTGTTTGGGGACCAGTTCCTATATTTGTGCCTGTTGGCGGTACTTTTTCACCTTGGTCTCAAGGGAACGAACGGAAACTACAGTTGTGAAGGCTCCTCTATCTTGACACACACACACACACCCAAATGGCTGTGGGTCAAAACTGCGTGCCCAAAATGGAACCCTGATACATGGAACCAAAGACTAAAACCTGCGGTCCGCAGTGGGTTTATTTTGACCCATACCCAAATCAGCGACGTTGGACTCCCGCCGCCCACGATGGATGACGAACATGCGGATCAGCCACGGCCAAAAAGGATCATTGTGGTGACAGGCAACGTGCTTGTTGTCGGCGAACGGGTTCAAGGGCAACGCTGAATATTCACTTGCTTACTGTCTGCAGTAGTAAAGGGGATGACACGGATACACCCGTTGAATATTTTACTGTTTACAGTAACAAAAGAGATGAATATTGATTGACCGCGGATGGGTGTTGGGCTGGAGCAGCTTCCAACGCTTCGCACATGGGTATGCGTCAAGATAGAGGAAGCCCGATATTGTGGTTTCGTTCTACTCCCTCCTGTAATCCAAGGTGACAAAAGTCGGACAAAAGTACCCCCAACAGGAAGCGGTCCGTGCTCGCTGTCCTCGCTTGTTTGCGATTGAGCAACTGCCAATCTTCACAGCTGACGATGACTGCGTTGTAGGAGATGGTGTCCGGCCACAGATGTAACGTCTCCATTTCGTGGAAGAGGTCCACCGCGTGCTGCGGCTGCCCCTCAGAGGAGAAAGATTAGAGAGGAGCCGTTTGTTTCTTACACGCTACGGTCACACCTGCTTTGGTTGCCTGCCCCCGCCGATGCGGAGGCACCCACCCACCCACCCACACACACACACCCACCCACACACACACACACACCCGCGGTCGCGCTTGCCTCACCCCCCGAGGGCCTCGCAGGCGCTGATGGCCGCGTTGAAGCTGATCACATCGGCCTGCCGCGACGCGCGCATCAGCTGCAGCAGGCTCAGCGCGTGAAGCCACTGCTCGCCCTGACCCAGCGAAGTTTGAAGCTTCACCCAGCTGGGGCCCTCAGATGCCCTGAGTCTGTGAGTAACCTTGAGTGGCATTTTGGCAAAAAATAGATGGCCCTGGTAAATGGGATAAAACCAATCTAGCCAGGACGCCTAAGGTGACTAACCTTTAGTGGGTAAAATGGAGGTATAAGGGGATGGCTGGGAACAAGCGAAAGACTGGACGTATAAGTCCATGCAACCCCTAGGAAGCTGTAGTTTATGGGCCCAAAACACCCTTAGTTGTGGCTCAATTCCGGGAAATCAAGACTCCAAGGGTCCGACATAGCCATGGGTTCACGCATACATATCTATATATATATATATGTATATATATATACATATTATATACATATATATGTACATCTATATATATATATATATTTATATATACAGATTATATGTATATATACATAAATTGCCGCATACCATCAGCCTTTCACTTACCAGAATCGGTTTTGATTGCGCTGGGTTCCCGTGAGCCTTCGGGACTTCGGGTTTGGATTGTCTAGGTCCAGAGATGTTCGAATATGTTGGTCCCCGATTCTTTTCTGCAGTCTATAGACTGACCAGGTCCTCCAGATTTGACAAGTTAGAATCAGGGTCTCCCGATTTTTTTCGGTTTGGTCTATTTTAGTAGGATCCCGAACCCTCCCAACGAAAAAAGGGGTGAATCAAAGGGCACCAATTGCTGGGGGACCTAGTTGCGGCTCTGGCTTCCGTGAGTCGTGGCTCCCGATGTTTTCCTTCAACTTGCCTTCTGGCAGGCACTGATGGCCGCGTTGTAGGTGATCACGTCTCTGGGCACCTGATCCAGCACCCGTAGCTCCATTTGCTTAAGTCCCCTGGAAAGAAATTAAATTTCATGTACGTGATAGATCCCTTTAAAACCAACAGGGAAACTAACAAGTATTCTTAACCAAATGGAAGCATACCGGCTATGTGCAAGCTGGCTGTGGGCACTTCATGAAGCAAGTTGTCATTGAAATCATGAGGGATGACAAGATCGTTCCACGAGATCCAAGAGGGGCATGTAGGTTTGCTTTCACTTTTGGGACCGAAGATCTCCACAATGATTCAAAGGTTTGATTCGGAACTGTTCATCATGTTTACATCTTCCTCGTCTGATTCAGTCAGACAGGGTTGGGCCCCGTTCGTAACATGTTCAACCACTAGTGCTCACACAATCCCGTTTGGTTTTCCTAATTATAAGGGAGCCGAACCGGATCTTATTGGTTAAACCTTTAATTTGGCTCACTGCAATCTCAGTGCGTCTTCCCAGTACCAGCTTTTGGGGCCAACAGAAAATCAAACTAAATCAGAAATCCATTTTTGCGGGGGTCCAATTATCTTTTCTTTTAAGACGCACCCACGTGTCACCAACTCACCGCAATCTCAGGGCATCTTCTCAGTACCAGTCTTTTGTGCCAACCAAAAATCAAACAAATTTGAGAAACCCATTTTTGCGGGGGTCCAAATGCCTTTTTTTAAGACACACCCACATTTGTCACTTTTGTTTTGGGGGGGGTCCAGAGGTCCGTCCAGAGTGCCTCATGTTCCGGCATCTTGGCCAGCAACTGCAGGGCATGTTGCCATTGCAGCCCCTTCTCGCAGGAGCTCATGGTGGCGTTGAAGCTGATGACTGACGGCTCCAGCTGCGCCTCCCAGGTCTAGGGGTAGATAGGATTTCCATTCGTTGGGATCCGAATCTTTTCAGGAAACCATCCAAAACCTAGGGGAAACAGATCCGGTTTTTGAAAAGAACGATGGTTGAAAAGAATGGAAAAGGAATCAACCAGTAGAAAGGTGTGTTTTGGTTTTGGCGGAAGTCCCCTGATTAGGTTCTAGGTCCTCCCGTAGAGAGGTTTGAATAAGAGTACCGATTTTTTTCGGTTTTGTCTATTTTAGTAGGGTCCCGAACCCTCCCAACCAAAAAAGTTGGGTGAGAGGTCGGGCACCAATTGCTGGGGGACCTAGGGTTTAAAGGAGCAGCAGCAGGCCACTGATTTTGGGGGCAGGGAACCCCAAGAACCGTCCATGAGAAATCTCCTTGGGTGATGTGCTGAAATGTGCTCCAAAGGGTTGTGGAATCAAGGGGTTTATTACCACTTCTGTGATACAAGGGAATCTCCCCTGTTATATGAGGTGTTAAGCCCTTTTTGCTGTATCACAGAAGTTGATTCCATTTCCCACAACCATGGTGCTCTATGTTGGAAAGCGTGCCAATGAGGCTTGGCTATGGGAACCGCCAAAAATCCCAGCAGGATTTTAACCAACTTTTGTTTGATGGTTTTTCTAGCACCCAACCTGTCTTAGTCTTATGGTACCCCATCCGTGCAGTGGTTTCCATCTTGTTTTTGCAATTGTCCCAAGCACGGCACTGTGCCGCGTTTTTACCGAAGCAGCTGCCTGTCCAATTTGGGGTAAGGGTCGAGCCCAAGTGGCGAGTCGGCGAGTGCAACCTCTTGGTCGCTCGAAAGCGAAGCACCCACTATCGCCCCCTTTTCTGGGCTGTCCTCAGATCCCACGCTATTCGTTTAACTTTTAGTGGGTTGAATGGAAACCCCCACTAAACACTAAAAAGCCAAAACGCTAAGGAACCGGATGGCTGGGAACCACCAAATTTTACCAACACAACAGAAGGTCCTTTAAGCAGGTGTATAATTACCATGTTGCCAACCAATCGCAACCACTAGTCTCCCTGCAAAAAAGTAAATGCAAGCCAGAGGTCAACCAGTCAATGGCCTCCAGTATGCGCTGCAGCAGGTGCAGTGCAAGAGTCCACTGGCCAAACCTCTCGCGCAGTGCTAAGCTGCTTCGATGTGTAGCTGTTGATGCGAAACAATACTCAGTTGTTCAGTGACCATGGAAAAAAGGGAACCTTTTTGGGGAAGACCATTTTTAGTGGGGCAGCCACCAAAACAAGGGAAACAGGGTGGCCACTGAACAACTGAGAATATCAGTCTGGTTGAGAGGGAGACGAGGAACCGTTGGCGGGGTCCCACTTTTTTGACGCATATCCGTGTCTTGGTTCCAACCGCTGCTAGTTGAATGGTATTGTCGGTACCCGATGAATCGGCAAAGGATGCCAAATGCAAATAAGCAGCTTTCACCAAACTATTCTCGACCCCAAAGGGGTGCCTAATACAATACGTGCTTGGCTCGGACAAAACAATGCGGGACTTGATCCAGAGAAAAAGTTGTGCTTGTCTTTTGCCCAGAGCTTGTTTTGTCGGGAAACAACACCCATCCCCCAAACCTGTCGATTTCCTTGCATGTCCTTTATACACAAGTGCACAGTCGACAAATTTGAAAGGGGGTAGCGAATGGCCGCCCCAAACGCTCAATAGTAGAAATGAAACTGGGCTGCCCTCAAATCCCCCGCTAAAAGTTTAACTTTTAGTGGGCTAAATGGAAGCTACCACCAAACACTGAAAGGCTTAAAAAGCTAAGGGGATGGCTGGGAGCCACCAAGGAAAAAGGTTCTTTCTTTTGAGCACTGTGAAAGTCAGAATATCTCTGCAAACAACACACAACCCCCCGGAAACTGCTGTTTTCCTTACATCTCCTTTATACAAAAGTGCCCAGCCGACAAATTTCCAAGGGGGGGGTTCGTGGCCACCCCACATATTCAATCGTAGAAATGAACCAAAAGGAACCTATTTGTGCAAACGTTGTCCAGGCCGACAAAGAAATACGATTAAACCAATACTAAACCGATTCAAATCAATACTAAGCTAGCTCGTAAAGCAGCACAAATCAATACTAAGCTGATACTAAGCCAATTCTAAACAGTACTGGGCCAGCTCAAAGGAAAACTCTATCAATTCAGGGCTAGTACCTGGCAGAGGAAACCGAAGAGGACCGAAGACACTGAGCAATACTAAGTCAATACTAAACTAATACAAACCAGTACTTCCGATGTAATTACTAAGGCAGCACGTCGCAATACTAAACCAATACTAAGCCAAAACTAGACCAATACTAGCCTTCAAGCCAGTGAAGGCCTTGGAAAAGGCCCATCTGACCTCCAAATTGTTTGTTCTTAACCAGCGAGCCATATTCTGCTGCTCAGACCATTCACCAACCTCGGCCTGGCTTGCTTCGGAGCCGAATCGAGTCTGACATGGTCTATTGTACAAATATTTGTATGGGTTTCTCTCTCCAAAAAGGAGAACAGAGGGGCGGCTTTCTCTTTCTGCCCGCCTCTCGCAAGAGCTGATGGTGGCATTGAAGCTCAAGACATCCGGCGCCAGGCGCGCTTTTGGCATCGCCAGGAGGCAGCAAAGGGCCTTCTGCCACTCGCCGTCCTTCACGAAGGAGCCCAGGGTACCGTTGTAACCTGCGGCCGAGGCCGAGGAGAAGAAAAGCCGATCTCCCGCCCTTGAAATCGTCCCGTGACGATGTGGTTGGAATCAAACCACTTTTGGAGGGGCCCAAAACCACCCCCCATTGATAAACTGGGGTTGATTCATATTATGGGGTCAACAGGGCAGCAACTTTGTGAGATTGCTGGCGCGAGAAGTTGGAAATGAGGGAATGTGAACCCAGGGATCTTAAAAGGAAACCACCAAATCGAGAATTTGTTCGGGTCATTCCATTCCTCGTTCCCTGCATCTCTCGCACCAAGTAAAACATCACCCCAAAAGCCAAGTCGGGAATTAAGCACCGGTGATGCTCATAACTGCCAGTGAAAATTTCAGACACCTCTGATCCGGCCCAAAGCACAAATAAATGGGCCCCAAACCGGTCACCCATCGGTCAAATGCCCACATGTAAAAGCAGGCGATCGATCTTCTGCGGCAGACGAAGCAAGACTTAAGCAATGTAATGTTGACCACATATTTTTCAACCCAAGTTCATTAATCGGGGGTGTTCCCCGCCAAAAGTGGTCTGATTCCCCACTAAACCCAGGGACCCCCATATGAATAAGCTGGGGTTTGTTTGTCTGGGGTCAACATGAACTGCCCAAGTCTACGAATATCCGTGAAAATCCATAATGATTCAACCAAAAACAAGGTGTCCTTATGAAAGGCCTTTCCTGTTGACGTCGCAACCCCCCCAAATCAACTCAATCCGGAAAGATCACTTCAACGGGGTTCCCTTGTCACAGACATCGGCCCTAAAATCTGAAGTTTTTCATGAAGCAAAGCCCCACCGAAGCGCTGGGAAGTGAACGTACCAACAAAGCCGTCTCAAAGGCGACCTTCAAAATTGGTGGATTTTCCTGTTGCCCCAAAAAGGCTAACAACACATCCATCCTCCCGTTTCCCTTTAAAGCCACCCAAAAGGGCTACTCTCCTTGAAAACACGGACATGGGTGTGTATCCCTTTTGGGATAGGTTTGATTCTCACTCTCCAAAAAAACGGACATAGGTGTGCATCCCTTTTGAACATATATCTGATTCTCGAGGGAAGCCATCGATTTAGGTCGAATTCTTTCTGTGCACGTGGCTGTAGGCAGTGGGCTTTGGCATGGCCAGCAGGAAGTGCAGAGCCCAGTGCCATTGCTGCGCACTCCTCAAGCATGGGATTCCCGGCGTCCCTCTCACCCGGGACAAACTCATCCTTCATGGGCCAACAAGGTGTTGAACCCCCCCCTTAAAAAAGAGGACATATTTAGGGACCCCTGCTAAAAAAGGGAAACCACAAGGAAACCAAAGAATTGGACTCGGGCGATGCGGACCCCATGAATGAGTCCAAATCAACGACTATCTCGTTAGGTCTTCAAATGGGGGTTCTCAACATAGTGGCCCTTTTGAGTGGTTACTTTGGATTGATCCGGAGGCTAGTCCAAGGAAACCTTCAAGATGGATATGGTCCGTACCAAACAGAGAACCACCCTCAGTAGTGCATACTGCGGATGAGCAAAATCCGCTTCGCGCCAGCTGGTAAGTGGTCTATCAATCTGTATTCAAAAGGCTTCACCCACCCCAACCGGTGCAGGATTTTGTCCATCATGAGTATTGCAGGTAGGGAACAAACAAGACCCTGTCATTTGCGACAACTTACAAGGGTGTGGTTGGGAATCGTTGGCTGCAGGTCTACCCAAGTTGTTGATTCCCGTCCCCGCCACTTGATCCGTTGAATTAGGAGTCCGTGGATATCGCGGAAACTCGCCTAGGTCCTCCAGCAGAGAGGTTCGAACAAGGGTACTCTTTTTTTCTGGAGTCGTCGGGAAACCCTCCCAACCAAAAAAGGGAAGAGAAAGGACGCTACTGGGGGACCTAGTCACAATTTTCCACCCCACACGGAAAGTGGTTCCTGCACGCGCCGATGACTCCGTTGAAGCTAAGCTCATCTGGCACCAACCTGGCGAGGATTTCCCTTGTGGTTCTCCCAAAGAAGCCCATGAATCAATCCATTTGCTTAAGCCCCCTGAAAGAAATGACACATATGTCCAGTAGTGATAGATTCCCATAAAAAAGAGGAAAAACATGAAAATAAACCATATTCATTTCAGCAAATGGAAGATCCCGCAAACCCAACGGAACCGGTTGTCGATCACCGCCGGAATCCGCGGCCAAAAGCTGGCCGAGACTTTGAAAGCTCGGAGTTGTCAAGTCGGGAAAACCTTCAAGCGAAACGAGGCGGTAAAAATCGGGAAGCTAACCTTGGTCTTCCAAGGGCCTGCAAAAACAGGGTCCTTCTTGACGTCGCTCTTGGTTGAAAAGGATAATCCGCCAATGACCTGCTTTTTCAGGGTCCCGGAAGATCAGGCTACTGCAAGCGGGTGAAAATGACTTTCCAATGCAGCACGAGGCAATGACGCGCCTTCCAAAGAGGTCCAGGGCGACTTGCCACGGCCCGTTTTCGCAAGATCGGATGGCGCTGTTGTAGGTCCGGACGTTGGGTCTGACGCTGCTTTTGCGCATATGTCCTCGCACCAAAAACCCTGCAAGGGTAGACACGTGCCACCCTTTCCCCCGCCCCCGCCCCCCAAAAAAAACCAGAGAAGAAGGGAAAGCAAGGGAAACCAAGCAACTGTTCTTGTGGGTCAACTTTAAGGGGCACGGAGCAATGGACCGTCGTGATGGCTGAAACTGGATACATGATAACATCACCCCCCAAGGGTTGGAAAAGAGGCCCCAGCCTCCGACGTCAACCGCACCCCTTGGCTTCCGACGCTCCGATCTTCCGAGAAAACTTGCCACGTGCTCGCCACGTGGCCCAAGAGCCGCAATGCATGGTGCCACTGCCCCAGCCGTTCAAAGGTGCTGAGGGCGGCGTTGTAGCTGATCAGATCCTCGGCAAAAAAAAAGCGCCCCGTGCCCACTCCAAGAGGTAAAAGCTTGAAGATCCACACGGCGTGTGTCTTAAGAGACCCCATGGCTTCGAAGGCTGGTTTTCCTTCAGCCGAAAACGGGTGCACCCTCCAGCACGAGGCATGGCATCTTGCCTGCGAGGAGCCGGCTTGAGCTTGGCCCGAGGCATGGCAGTCAGCAACGCCAGGGCCAGCTGCCAGTGGCCATCGGCCTTACAGGAGCTGATGGCGGCGTTGTAGGTGATGGCGCTGGGCGTCACCTTTCCGTGGCTAACGGTTTCCCATTTACCACCTACAACTTCCATGTGGTTAAGACCCTGGAAAAAAATATGTCCCGTAGTGATAGATTCCCTAAAACCAACAGGGGAAAACAAAACATGTTTAAGCAAATGGAAGACACGAACCAGGGGTGCACATCCCCAAACCACCAATCCAAACCGCCATGCTACCTGACAAAACGGAAGTCGGAAGCAACTTGGCCGAAACTATTTCAGAGCGGGCTGTGAGCTATGGAGAAACGTCTCTTGGGTTCGTGAGACCTACAAAGCTCACGCAGAATCTCAATCACATAAATAAAGGCGATGTTGAAACCCACCTAAGGGAACCTGAGTTACACAACGGAGCCTCATAAAATAAGACCCAGACGCCGCCTTGTGCCGCCGTTTCCAAGGCTTGGCTGGAATTATGACCCCTATGTTTTGCCTGGTTAGTGGAAAACCAATGGGACCCCAAAAAGGCAAACAATGAAAAAGGGGAGCTAATTCTGGGGAAGAAGGGATACCAGAATTCATGGGCCCAAACACTTGACAACCCCCCCTTTTTCGGATCGACCTGGCCTTTGCTTTGGGCATGGCTCCCAGCAAAGCCACCGCGCGCTGCCACTGGCCCCCCTTCTCGCATGAGCTGATGGTTGCGTTGTAGGTGATGACATCTGGAGAGAGCTTTCCGGTCAGCATGGAGCCTCAGCTAGAACTCACCTTGCCACTTTCTGTGGGTCGAAAATAGGGTCACCCCAAAATGGCTTGCACTGGCAAATGGAAACATGGACGATTTAACCTGCGGTCCATTTCCTGGTGGTTCAATTTTGACCCACAGCCAAGCTAGAACTCACCTTGCCACTTTTATACACAATCAACCGCCCATTTGTCATAAGTCTACCCAACAAAGTCCACGAATGCCATCAATGTATCAAGGTATTAAAGTGAATAATTCAATCCAGATTATTTCAGCAGCTCATTGAATTGATCACATCTTTCCTTTTTCACAATTATATGGTCTTTCTTGTTAGCATAGTTACATTCATTCAACCATTATGCTTTCAAATCTCGCCAGTGCCAAAGCCAAGTAAAATTGTCATCACATTTGCAGGTTGTTCCATTAACCCACATTCACATTGTATGTGTCCATTACAAGCTCTTTATTATCGTCGTGTCTGTTCTCTTCTATTTGTCGCCTTGCAAAGGCAAGAAGAAAAGGTTTATTATATCCACATTTAGAACGCTGTCTTCTATCGATGCCGCTAGTATATCAAAACAAGTGCTCTTTACATGCCATGTTACGGCAAAAAATATATGATACTTGTTAACACATTGTTGGGGCATATTAATTGGTGGAAAATCGGCAAGGTGTGGGTTATGCAGCAATACTCAAACACATATTCACAATAATGTACAACTAAAAAAATACACCGCATACAAAACTGCATTATATTGTCTCGTGCATGCGTGTATTCATTAGTTGTTCTGTCTGCTGCTAGATTGGTTTTAACATTGGCTTTTCATATCATGAGGCAAAAAAGGCATCCGCGGTACTTACATTGATTGTTTGTATTGTCTAAAACCACTAAGCATTTACATAACCTTCTTGCAGTATGATGATGTGTTGCTTTCCTGTCCTGTTCCGTGTAATTGCAAATATGTCTTTCAACAAAGCTTACTATACATCTCTATTAAATACAGCATCAGTATCTTTTGTGTGTATGAAAAACTTAACTTTGTTTAAGTCTCTACAACGTGGAATCGCTGTCCATATCCGTTCTGGAGAACTCATTACCAAACAATAGTTACAATCAACAATCGTGTTTGCATCATCACTGCTACTAACCCGTGCGGAATGATAAGTGGAGCAAGAAGGACACCTAAGATTGCCTCTCATTGCAGCAACTTCTACAGATGGTAAAATGTCATGTTTCGCATTGTTCAATGTAAAAAGTCCATTGTTTGCAATATGAACTTTTCTATTTTGAATATGCGTATGTGTTAGTTCCCAAAAAAATGTATGCAACTTAAAACATGTCCTACTCCATACTAATTTTCCTACTTTCTAGCTTCCTAGTTTTGTTCAAAATGCTATGTTGATTCTAGAACTACTTATGTCTGTTGTGTGTTGAACATATTGTGCAGCGGTCGCTTTAATAGGCAGTTTACTAGCCCAAGTATCAGTTGTTGTGCTGAATAAATCATATCTATGACATTGTCAGTGTAGAATTTACAATATTGACTTGAGTCTTGGTTATTTCGTGAACTGATTTACATTGTTTGTTGTCTCCTGTTGCAATCTTAGTTTCGTGGTGACTGTTCTGTTTTATAGATTGTTTGATTATCCAGTATGTGTTTAAACTACTGAAATGCAATTCATCAATACTATTGCATCGAATCCTGTAAACACGCCATGGAATAAGCCCACTCTAGTGGTTGATTGCCCATTCTTTCCAACCATTTTTCTTTTCAAAAGCCAACTGTTTCCCCTGAGTCTTTGATTCTCCCTGAAAAGGATCTAGTTCCGCTTTCCATTCGCAGGCGGGTGGCCGAAGAACCCCAGCGCTTTCCGCCACTGCTGGCCCTTCTCCAGCGAGCTGAGGCACGCGTTATAGCTCACCACGCTCCGCCGGATCTGGGCCTGCGCGGCGAGGATCTTTTGCACGGTGAACCCCTCCCAAAATTTGCCAAATGGGTGGACATACACCCCGACCATGATGTCCACCAAAGGGCCCCTCATTGAACTTCCCACAGCACGGCATCAAGTGAAGCCTGCCCTTTGCAAAAAAAAACTAGGTCCTCCAGATTTGAGAGGTTGGAACAAGGGTACCAACTTTTTTCTGTCGTCTATTTTAGCAGGGGAACCCTCTCCCAAAAAAGGGTGAGAAAGGGCACCACTGGAGGACCTAGTATAGACTTGTACCAACCCCGAAAAGGTGTGTCACAACTTTGGCAGTATTCAGCACAAAGTTGCTCGACTGGGAAATCCTCAAGGTCATGCGAGGCTGAGCCGCAAATCGTCAGCAGTGCTTGCTAAAAGTTCTGTGTCCGCTTTTTGTTCGGATTTCAACTGGGCGGATTTCCAGGCCACGGCTTTGCCAAGCTGGAAATCGCGAAAACAAAACACCCTGAGTTGCTTGTCAAAAGGGGATCAACATGGCAGTTGAGCTTTCTCTCTCAACAGGCAATGCCAAAAACAAAATTGAAAACTGATTGTATACTGCTACCCAAACCAAAAGTGATGATTCCCCACATTCACCCAGAAAAAAAATACAAAACTACCCCCGAATGAATAAACTGGTTGGCTGATTTGTTTGGGGGTCAACATGACCTGTTTACAAACCCGAGCTGTCCCAAAAAAACACGACCTATACTCGGTTGCTTTTCTGCTCCCCTGCTAAAAGTTTTGTTTAGTGGTTTAATACGGAAAACCCATTAGTCGGCAAAAAGTTGTTCAGTCCTAACATCCCTTGGCAACATGGGAAGTGTTTGTTTGACCATGCAGCACAGGATTTCTTTTCTGTAAACCGCCCATGTGATCATGCTAAATTTCAAAGCCTAGGGGTTTTTAACGGGAGAAAACAGCCAAATGGACTCACAACTCAGCCGCTGTTGCCCCAAAGGCCACCTCCGCCATGCGCTGGAAGAGTAGAAGTGCGCTCTGCCATTGCCCGCACTTCTCGCAGGCGCTGATGGTGGCGTTGTAGCCTCGAGTCGAGAAGTTGTTTTTGATTGTTTCTCCCAGTGGAACTTGGGGCCGTTTCCTGGAAATTAATCTGGCCATATATATATATATATAGTGTATATATATATAACATATATGTATATATTTATATATTATGTATATATATATATACAAGATGTATATATATATAATATGTATGTATGTATGTATGTATGTATGTATGTATGTATGCATGCATGCATGCATGCATGCATGCATGCATGCATGTATGTATGTATGTATGTATGTATGTATGTATGTATGTATGTATGTATGTATGTATGTATGTATGTAATGTAATGTAATGTAATGTATGTATGTAATGTAATGTATGTAGTGTAATGTAATGTAATGTAATGTAATGTAATGTAATGTAATGTAATGTAATGTAATGTATGTATGTATGTATGTATGTATGTATGTATGTATGTATGTATGTATGTATGTATGTATGTATGTATGTATGTATGTATGTATGTATGTATGTATGTATGTATGTATGTATGTATGTATGTATGTATGTATGTATGTATGTATGTATGTATGTATGTATGTATGTATGTATGTATGTATGTATGTATGTATGTATGTATGTGTATGTATGTATGTATGTATGTATGTATGTATGTATGTATGTATGTATGTATGTATGTATATATATACTCATTTGTTATCCCTGTTCGCTGCAGAGTCTTCTGGTCTTGCTTACCAACTTCTTGCGCTATATCTCACATCCGCTACGGCTTTCCTTTTGTTGGGTCCTATGCAAACAGCGCCAACTCACCCAGTTCAGCGTGTCCTTGAGGGGTTCAGTTTCCTCTTCTAGACCTGGCCATGTCTGAGGTCGCTCTCCCAAAATTCGGCTGTTGCCACTTCTGAGGGCCCTGGATTTTGGGGAATGCAAGGCAAGGGCCCTCTGTGTCCAAGTGCTATCATTCCTATTCGCCTACATCTGTCCTTGCTTCATGCAACAATTGGTTGCTTCTTTGCACAGCCCAATTGTTCAATGCCATTGCCAGCTTCACGAGAAATCCGGAAAAAAAAGAAGACGAAGACCAAACAAACGACTGCTTCATTCAATAGACAAACCCGGCTTCGTGGGGAAATCCGGGAACACACAAATCAAACGAGAGATATCCTTGAAGCGCCCACGTGCCGCGGCGTGTTTTCCTAGGGGCTGAACACCGTGGGGCCCACCTTCACATCGCGCATCTGGGCGAAGAGCCTCACTGACTCCTGGCCAAGTCGCCGCTGGACAGGTCCCGAGTGGCCGCGGCCACTTTTTGGCAACTGTTGATGGGAAACCCCTAACCGTTCGACCCCCAAAAGAATGGTCGACCCAAATTGGAGGACAAACATGAGGTAAAGAATGGTGGTTCTATGAACCCCCAGTGTTTTTTCATGGCGGATTGAACCCCAGGAACACCCCTTCGAAGAAAAAACATGTTGTTTTACCCACTGCAGGTCTGGGGCTTGAAGCCAATGTTCAAGCCATCCTAGAAAATTGATGCGAGGCTGTCTTTGTCTCATAGGATCCATGTTTTCTCCAACAGCTGAAAGCTACGGGGCAGAGATAGACTCTGCGGCTCCGGCTACGAGACCGGGAGGGTCCTCACCCTCCTTTCTTACATCCCGATTTGGGAGCCAAACACCGTCCCCCCAGCACACCAGTTTGGGAAGACTATAGACCAAAACTCGAATCTCGATGTGTTTTTGTTGGAGGCTTATAAACCTAGTGGGCTTTGAAGGCAAGACACATGTGTTGAAACAAAAAATATACTCGGTGTTCACCCTTTAGTTGCTGCCAACAGTGGTTTCTGCATTGTATATTAACCCCTAATGGTGTTGCAAGGAAGAAAAAACGGAACCGGCCCATGCTTCACCCGACGGTTCTAGGAGTTACTTCCCATTGTTTTCAGGGATTCTGTTTCAGAGAAACGCCAACCGCCTGCGGAAAACGGAGAAACGCTTGAAAATAATGCTTGGGATCACCCTTTTCAGCCTGCATTAAAAAGGACACCACAGACCAAAAGAAAAAACATTTAGGCATCCCCCTATGTTGACGCACATTTTGGGATCCCCCTATTTTGACGCATAAGCCAATCAACTCGGCAACCATCTTCCAAGACTTTGCACACAAAAAAAAACGGGTCTGTTTCTTGAGCACGAGCTGTGGATGCACAACCTCCCCGTGCGCAGCTGTCCGGAGGTGGTGATTCCCAGTCATAGGGAACTTTCACCAACCGGTGCGAAGTCGTGGTACTTCAACAAATGGCCCTGGTAGGTGATGAAGCCGCCAGGTAAACCAGGATTCGCCGCCCATTTTTCTACCAAAACAACAAAAAAAAGACACTTCTGGTCAGGCAACCCTTTTTTCTGTAGTCCATTTTTGTGGGGGAAGCCTCCCCCAAAAAGTTGGTCAAAGGGCACTACTGCGGGACCTAGATAGGGTTCCATCCACCCCCAACTGCTGCGAAGTCATATGGGTATGGGTCAAAACTCTACCACCAGGATATGGACCGCAGGTTTTAGAAACCGTGTTTCCATTTACCAGGGCAACCCATGTTCCCGGTGAACGTCCCAATCCCCACTAAAATAGGTTCTAAACTGGGTGGTGAATTCACCTACCAACCAAAATGGGATCCCGTTGGTGTTGACAACCACAGCCATATGTGTCTGGCACAAAATTAAACAAGAGGGGTTACGCAGGTTTTGGTCCATGTTTCCACTTACCAGGGTTCCAATTTTGGTACAGCTTTTTGACCAGCCAAATCCGAAGTGCATTGAGGCATTGAAGGATCCCATTTGAAAGCCTTCTGCAAATTACTATTTTGGCAGGCTTCAAGGGGAGGGGGGGAGGGCGGTTGGACCGCGGCTCCCGCGTCGATACTTCGGCTCCTGCCAAAGCTTGGCCCTGGCGCACTGGGAGATGGCCTCCACACAGATCCGGCTGCCCAAGTGGGCGCCCGCCTCAGCCGCCTGCCATGGGGGCTGCCGGATGGGGATCTTTTTGGGATAGCCCCTTGAACCACGCTTGGTCGACGTTGGGCTAGGGGAGCAATTTTATTTTTTTATTTTTTTGGCAGTTCAGTGGTTGGACAAGCAAACATGTGAAATGTGCCCCAACGACAACCATGCATGTGAGTCACAATGGAAACCTGGTAGAAAAATGGTGAACCCCAGAACCACGCAAAGAATTAAGAAGGCGGCCGGCTGGGACTGCCCTTTACTAACTTTGTATCTACCCGGGTTTTGAGCAAGTGGCTCATGTGTCACAGAAATCTCAGATGCCCGGTGGATTTCCATGGGAAAAAAAGGCCACATTTTTTTGGTTGGGTTGAGTCAAAGAGGGGGACCCTTCCAAAAAAGAAGGAAAACAGGGCGGAATCCACTGGGCAAGTGGGTAGTGCAAAAAGATGATACTTTTTAAAGGATGAAAATGGTGCCTCGCCCTTGCATCATGTTTGCTCTAAATGTGTGATTTCTTCTGACAAACAAACACCCTCGTTTGCAACAAAAGCGACGTCTGTCTGGGTTTGCCTCAAAAGGGCCCGTCATGATGTCTACTTGCCCACATCTGCCAAATGAAAACAGAAAGAAAGGACGACTCAACACAAGCACCCAGCAGGTCAAACTAGGGCTGCCCCGAGAATTCTGGTTTTCCCCTTGGTTTCTCTTTTGGTTTTCCCATAAATACTAGGTCCTCCAGTACCTTTTTTTTATGTTGTCTATTTCAGTAGGGGAACCCTCCCCCAAAACAGGGTAAAAGGGCACTCCCAAAGCAGGGTAAAAGGGCACTACTGGGGGACCTAGAATAAGCAAAATGGTACCCTCAAAGAAGTTCCCTTTGGTTTCTCTTTGGTGCTTCCCTTTGCCCCAAAATTGTAATTTGCTTGGTTTCCCTTTTGGTTTCCCCACAAACAGGGATCCTTACATTATACACCGGAACATTGCCTTGTAAATGGTAGTTTCCAACTTTATTTCGGTGTTGAAAAAGCACCATGTTTCAAATGGTTGCAAAATGGAGATCTTTTAAGGAGCCCTGTTGAGTTATCAATGAACTAGACCTGTGCTCAAAGAGTTCACAACTCGGATTCGGATTGTGTGGACCTCTGATTTTGTATGGATCTTTTAAGGAGCCCTGAGAACTCACCATGGCACCCTCAAAGAAGCGGAAGCACCGCTCGAAATCCCCGGCGCCTGGGCCACGAGGTGCGGCGCCAGCTGCGGCCGGCGCCCTTCCGCCAGCAGCGCCTCGAGCGGCCGGGTACGGCGCCGTCCGTGTTCCGCGGGTTTTCGGGGACGCCAGTTGAGACGACTTATTTGACGAGGCTTTGCAGATTGGAGAGGCTAGAAAAAGGGTACCCACTTTTTTCGGTTTTGTCTATTTTAGTATGGGGAACCCTCCCCCAAAAAAGTTGGTAAAAGGGCACTCCTGGGGGACCTAGTTGAGGAGATCTCGTTAGGATAACGACGACAAAGCCACATGTACGATTTTTTTGGGGGCAGTTCTTGTTTTGCAAGCACGAGAGCGCCGTTGCGACTTGCCGTTGGCCCAAACAAACAACCCAACGAACAAACAAAAAGAATCAAACACACAAACACACAAACAACATTTTGGAAGAACAAAGCCCCATCTGGCGGGCCAAGAGTAGGTCAATGGCAATCGAACCTCTTGAAATGTTGAGCGGTCAAGAAGGAAACCGCCTGGGAAGCATGCTGGCACATCTGCCACAGCAACACGCCACGCCCCCCCCCCCCTGCCTGTCAGCCGATGACAAAAGATTCGCCCCCGGCATACATTTACACTACTCAGATGCCCAGCGGCCAGGAGAAAAAAGAACATCCTTTTCTGGTTGGTTGACTTTAAAGGGGAACCCTTCCAAAAAAAAAAGGCACCACTGGGCAGCTGGGGCTATTTTCGGGTTGGGCAGTATGCGCCAGGGCAACCAGGCGCTGGTCAACCTTTAAGCAGAGGCCGAAAGGAGGTTGTCTGAGCGCTGGTGATTTGACATGTTCACGGAGACCGATATAGGAAATGACCGTGTGCCACCAGTGTGAGACTTCAATCCACTACTGTTGTCTTTACTTTCTCGCTTTCAAAGGGATTCCTTGTGAGTCGCAATCAAAATCTGGCATTAAAAACAAACTTGCTGGTTCTCAGCAGGGAATAATGGAATGAGCCCTATAAAACCATCCCCTATGCTTTCCTTTGAGGGAATCCCTAGGTTCATTCCCAAAACCCTGGGTCATTTCCTACTGAGCACCAGCAAGAAAACAGTCTGCCCAAAACGATGCAAAGAAAAACAGAGCGGCCGCACCGTGCTAACCTTCATCTGCCTGGGTTTTGATTGCGACTCATGTGGTGCCGGCAAAGCACAGGACATGAGTGCACAAGGCAGCCAAATGGGTTTGCAAAACATAGCACATGGGCTGTAGAAATCGAAGCATCCTCGTTTGCAAATCACGGAAGACCTTGTTTGCAAATCGCAGAAAACTGGCCATGTCTTTACAAACCAAATCGCCTCGACTCTTCCCTGGAAACTCCAAAACGAACCGCAGAAACCAAATGTCCCAAGCGCCTGGAGGGCGTCCTTGGAGGGATGCTGCTTCCGCGGAGTGAGCGGCAACTCGACATCCTGGCAAAAGAAGCGGCTCGAACGTGCGATTGAAATGGACACCAACTTGTCTCGGTTGCTAACCCATTAGTTGGCGAAAAGTTAAAGTCCTGACATCCAAGCAAAATGGACACCAACTTGTGTACCAGGTTCTTATAGACCTCCTGGTAGCTGCTTAGCTCCCTGCTTAGAAGCAAATTCGGATACTCCCGGCTCCTTGGCTCCCTTCCAAACCGACAGCTAGATGCTCTGACTTATCCCGGTATATGTTTTTCCGGTTGATGTCCACATTGCAGGTCACTGCAGTTTTCTGCTTCAGGAAATATTTCAAATGCGAACTTCTGGAAGTGGCGAGCTTAGCGCATGGCTTTTTGTCCACCACCAGACTTGGGCAACTCATAGCCCTTCATTGGGACCTCGGGCCGTCCCACGAAACCTGAGGTCGCTATGACTGGTCCGGATCCATGCACCCGTCAAAACGCAAGTTCGAGTATTGGTGGTGGCTGTTTTGCCTGCGCCGAGTTTTGTGATTGGCTAGTGCGCAAATATACTTTTCTCAAATCTTGAGAGACATGTTTTACCACATTTCCATCTTAAGAAAACTCGATCTTGAGTTGGCCCAAAAAGTGATGTTGAAAACCAAAGGAGAAGTTTCAAAGGGGAAGTATATCATTTTCCCACCAATTGGTGGTTTGGATTGGTGGCTTGGTGGTGAAACGGTGTGGTTTCCCACAAACTCTCTACAAAAGCCGGGCTTCAAATCTAAATCCAAACCACCTGGCTCCAAACCACCCTTTTTCGGGTTAACCTGAGTATATCCACCCTCCTGCGTCAGCCGGGAGGCACGTGATGCGAGCCGCCGCAGTGGAGCCGCCAGCATACATGACGGACGATCAAACCGGCCGGCCGGCGGCCTAGGTCCTCCAGATTTGAGAGCTTCGAATAAGTTGGTACCCCTTTTTTTCCCGTAGTCTATTTTAGTAGCGGAACCTCCCCCAAAAAAGTTGGTGAGAAAGGGAACTGGGAAACCTAGTATCCGTCAGCGTGCCCTGGAGAACCCCACTCAAAACGAACAGAACCAAAGCACCAAAGAGAAACTACCAAGGGTGTTTTCGGGTATGTGTTTTGGAGGTATGAATGCTGGAAATATGCAAACTGGATGCCCCGTTCTGTTCATGGTTCTGATGAGAAACCGCAAACTGATTCACCTGGGCTGCTTGCTGATTGAAGGATCTCTGGGTTCAGGCGGGACATGCAGCCGGAACTGGGCGCTGGGGCATTGTGCTACTTGGTACCCACTGACCAGGCTATGGTTTGGACCCATCCAGGTTCGGGCATCAGCTTCCTTAGGCTTCCCTGAAAAAGCCTCACCCTATCAAGTCATGACAGCCCCAAATGGATAGTCCAAGTCTGGTCCTTGTCTCGAATGAAATCAAATCCGCACAATGGTCACAAAGGATGGTTGATTTGTTGGGCACGAGTTGTGGACAAAATCGAGCTGCGGTCAGTGATTGACCGTGGTTGATGTATGGTTGGCGTCTTGGGCAACATATGGCAACATGTTTCTAGGAAGTAACCGTTGTGATCACGTGGCCCATCCCTGTGATGACATTAGCTGGATCCCCTTGCTAAGGGCGTTGGGGGGCTGGGAACCCGTCTAAATCTCTGACTGGAGATGCGGCCAGTTCTTCAATACCCCCTCAAAAAGGTGGTAAAAACCACCACCCACCGTCTTGTTTGTTGCTACCCCTTAAAAGGGGTGTAGTTTTGAACGTTTTACAAGAGCGAGACCATCCTGCTGGTTGAAACCAGTCAGAACTGCGCCATTTCCTGAAGCCAGCGGACTGCGACGGCGAGGACTTAGATGTATGTATATATATATATATATATATCTATATACAGATAGATAGATAGATACATAATTCACATGTTACTAAATATGTATCCATGGTTGCATGTACATGTGTGATACATATATATATATATGCAACTGTATATATATATATACATAATGTGTGTATATGCTATGTATAATATGTCACTACGGGCAAGACAATTTGCTCCCACCTCCCCAACAAGAGTGGTAGTTTGGCAACTCTGAGTGTTTTTGTTCAATGCAAGTGTGCCTAAAAGTGCAAAATGGTCTTTGCAAAGAATAGACTGATTTCTTGGGGAAAAAAAAAAAAAAAAAAAAAACAATCTAAAACATTGCGGCATTGTACACAACATCCGCACCCGAGGTGCTTGCTGCCGAAGCAGTTTTCTTCTTCCGGATCCGAGCTGGAAGCTTCCAACGGGGAGGACAAATTGACCGATTCTCCAAGCCTTCGGGTTCCGAAAACCTGACCCAAACTTCATGAGGAGCTTGGCCTCAGCACTGGGGAATAGCACCGGGGAAACCAGTGCAACAACTCTAGGGAAAATCTCCTCCCCCACCTAAACTTCCATTTGGCTAAGACCCCTGGAACAAATATTTCACGTAGCGATAGATTCCCTTTGAAATCAACAGGGGAAAATAAACAAATAGTCTTAAACAAATGGAAGTAAAGTAGAATTTCGGATTAGGCAAAAGCGAGCAGCGCTGCAGTTGGTGGACCTTGAGCCTCACAAACCCGACTCAAGGCATCAAAATACGGACGGTTTTGTTTTGGTTGCCCCCAAAAAACAATCCCGAAAAACCCCCGCAAAAGAAACACACCCGGTTCTCGTTTGATACTCACCCTCCATTTGCTCAAGTCCCCTGAAAAAAAAATACTATGTCCAGCAGTGATAGATTCCCCTTTGAACCAGCAGGGGAACGACGGAGAAAACAAAAAAGATCTTCGGCAACTGGAAGTCACGGGCTGAACTCCGCCTCGCGCTCGCCGGCTTCAAGACAGCAGGCTGGATTGAGGCCTTGAGAAACAAAGGCGCTGGGCCATGGGCCATGGACCATGGGTGTGTCTTAAACTTAAGACATGCGTCTGCGCCCCGAAGAAATATACTCCAAGCTGACGGACTACTTTTCTGTTGGGTAAGCCCAACAGAAGTACCTTGTCAACAGGGTGAGACATTGACAGTCGCCAATGTGTATTGTTGGTGGGACGGGAAATCCGAAGCCCCACTTCTTGGCTTCCCAAAAGACGGTAGCCTCAACAAAAGACAGGCCCTCATGGCTTCCCTCAACTCCTGGTCCATGACCACCATCGCCAAGTAAAGAGTGTTTTGACCATGGCTATGGCTCAGATGTTCAGGCAAGCCGCTATAACTCTGATGCTTAAGACCCATGCCGTTCGGACACTTCTGGCCATAGCAACAATTCGCCTGGTTCCTGTGGATCTTGCCGATGGGTTGACCTCCCCAAAACTTTCGGCCCTTTTGGCTTCACCGCTTGGTCGCCATGAAAGAAACATGTCAAACAAAAAAAACACGGGCGTGGTCGCCGGGCCTTGAGCATGGCTCAAGTCATCTCAAGTCATTCCCAAACCGGCTTTTACCCTCCGCCAGGTTTTTCTCTCAGCTCTTTGGGACTCTGGAACACCACCAATGGAAACTGCGCGAACGGTGAGGCAGGCGGTCTAAATCAGCTGGTAAATGTGATGCAGCCCAAATTTGTGAATCTGCGTAAGCAACTAATGCAGTAAAGGACAGCTGTAAAATGCCGTAAAACAATTTAAACAGTCGACCCAACACCGTGGTAAAGAAACAGAAGGGTGGACATCCGCATCTATTTGTGGTTGGGACTGATCTAACCTTCTTCTACCCAATTGAGCAGGGATTTGTTTGGGTGTTTCGGCCTACGCTGGCAGCCATGCCTACTCGGAGCCTCCGCGGGCCGCGGGTGTGAAAAACCGGAGGGTGCCTACGCGAACCTACGCGAACCTACGCGACAACAGACTTTTCTCGGGCGCTTCTTTCAAGCCACGACAAGTTCGTGCAAGGTCAAACACGCCTACACGAACCTGACGCAGGATTTTCTTGAACAACCTACGCGGATTGCCTACGCGAATCGTTTCCGCCACCAGAGCTGCCTACGCGGTGCCTCCGCAACGTGAAAGGAGCTCCACCCGAATTCCAAGCGAATACACAGCAAACAAAAACTCGGCTCAAGTGCTGATTGTGGCTCCTTCGGGGGAAACGTGTGTTAAAGGAAAAGGGCATTCCTCCATTCAGACCGTAGTTTTGCCACATTCGCGTCGACATATGTCAACGACCAACTCACCACCCAGTGTTGACCTGATCTAAGCAGAACCTGGCAGAGTGCTACATGCTTTCTCAAAAGGGACTCAAAGTCCCTCTAAAATGGACCTTCCCTGAGAGCAGGGCGTGGTTCAAACCCCTTCCGGCCACGGTTTCCCCTTCCCAATGTGTGAGCTAAACCTTCTTCTTTGCCCAAAAGTAAGCAGAACCAAAAATGCAAAACACTACCCAGTGCACCCCGCTTATAGTTGCCACCAACCGCAGTTCTTTTAGTTTTTCTGAGTGATTCCCTTGCATCACTTTGCAGTAGGGGTACCAACCCCGGGGCACTTGACGTGAGGCTAGCAACCACATACCCTCGCCTCAGGCGAGGACTCGTTTTGATCTCTTGAACCATCTGATTTTGTTGCTCCACGTAAGGGAAACAAATTTTTTCGAAAGTATGTACAGATGTACGTATGGGTGGTTCCCCTAATGTTGATCCCATATTAAAATCAACCCCAGTGCATTTTTGGGGCTCCAAAAGTGGTCTGATTCCCCACATTTCACCCAGGGACCCCCCCTATGAATAAACAGGAGTTGATGAAAACATGGGGTCAGCATTAAGGTTCAACCCCCTCAAAAGTCTTTGACCCAAGTTGGATGAGGAATCCTTAGGCAAAGAATGGTGGTAATACAGTGAATGGACGGAATCCTGCACAAACTGCTGGCATTTACAGGAGGATCATCATCCCAGGCTTTGCTTTCTTATAGGTGGCGCAGAATTTCGTCCATCCACGGTATTAACCCAACCCTTGTTTCACCTCGTTGCCTTTCCGGTGTTTCGAATCCAGCGCTCCCCGCCGGCTGCGCCTGCGCCGACGGCGCGCTGGCAAAATTCGCCACGAAGGCTTCCATGAACCTGGCGAAGGGCTTGCTCGCGCTGGTCACCTTGCCCCCCGAACCGCGGGTTTGGTTTCGACGTTAGAAGGGCACCTTTTGACTTGGTATTTGGGGAACTGGCTTTCTCCCCAAATTCCATAATCCAAAATCCAGCCAAGGGTTACCTCTGGGTAACTGCGCGGCCAAGAGAGAAAGAAGTCTCAGCTTCTTTCGTGGTTTACCCTCGCGAACAGGGTTGTCGAACCCATTATCTGTTCACCGGGGCCAAGGTGCAACACAAGTGCCGCCGAACAGCTTTCAGCAAGGTTGCCTTAAGCAAGTAGCATATCTTTAAAAAAGAACAAGCTGCAAAGTCGCACCTCATATGCACACATACACATATGTGTATATATACATGTAGGTATCAGTACCCACTCATTCAATGAAATCTTCATTCATACGCCGGGACTTTTTCCTTTGCTATGCAGCCAGCACAAAGGCGAAGGTGTCTGCACACTGGGTGTGCTCCTGCATGTTCCTGCAAGTATGCGAAGTCACATCGCGCCACCTCCCCCCGAATCAGGTGTCACTGCATAAAGACCCAACGAATCCTGCAGGACAGCTCGAGGATTCACGGATACAAGAATTGCGCCCGAAAAATTCCAAGTCGGATCTCGGGACGGGAGGTCAGCAATATTAACAGAGCTCGAGACGCGCTCGTGCCACACAGAACAAGCCATGTCCTCCTCGAGCTTGGCGGCAAAGCTTGCCAGCTGGCAAACAACAGAATTCGCAGTATTCAAGCTGATTAAGGAGGCAAGGACTGAATCATTATCGCAAAACCTCACCACTTCCGAACACATGGTCCACTGGCGAAATCTTCTGTGTCGTCGACCTCGCGCTTTGCCTTCTTGGCCTTTTGCTTCACTGCCTTCTTAGCTGCCTTCTGCCGTGTCTTCTCCACCGGCGTGTCCTCGATCACTTCTTCTGCCTCCTCTTCGTCTTCTTCCTCTGTGTTTTCGATGACCTCCTCTTCCGTCTTCTTCGCCTTGGTCTTTGCTGCTTTCTTGGCTGCACTTGGCGCCGGAGCCTTCACAGCCGGTTTCTTTTCCTCGGTCTTCTCTGCCGGCGCCTCCTGGGCCGCGTTCTCTGTCGCTGGCGCCGCAGTCGCAGTCTCTTCCGGCAGCCTCTGCGCCGCATCTGCTGCCGCTGGCGCTGCTTGCGTCGGCTGCCCCTGCGGCGCGCTCTCTGTGTTGTTGACCTTGGGGTTGGCGACCGGGGACCACTGCAAAGGGTTCCCTGCATCCGGGGCGACCTCCTCTCGCGGCGCGCCCTGCGCGTGCCGCTTGCTGGCGGCCGCGCGCCAGTGTTGGGCTGCCAGCCAGCGCGCGAAGGCTCTGCCATTCTGCGGCGCTTGCCACCACGCCGCGTACTCCTCCGTCGGCTGGGCTCCTCCGTTGCAGAAGCGGTCTTTCGCCACGTCCGGGTTCGAAGCCAAGGCTGCGGCCTGCTGCAGCGTCATGGTCGCCACATACAGGTTAATCATGACTGAGTTTAGCCATCCTGCTCAGTGTCTCCCACTGGCCCGCGGCCGCGCCCAGGCCTTTGAGCAGCTGCTCCGCCATGACCTCTGTCTCCTGCTTCGAGGAAGTGGTGTTGGGGTAGTCCACGGTGTTCAGCACCTCGGACGCACGCTTGACTTTCAGCTGCGCGAGAAGACTCTGGAACGGCTTCCTCGCGGCAGGCGTCAGGATGGTCTCGCCTGGGCCGCATTCGCTTCGGAGGATGGCCTCCACTTGCTCAGCCGCGCCCATGACTGCGCTGAGCCACACCTCCGGCCTGTTGAAGGCCTCACACCCGGGCTTCCCATCCCTCGTCAGCTGTGCCTTGGCCCACGTCAAGGACGAAGTCATCTGCGCGACAGTGATGCCGCGCTCTTCATTGTCCCGGTCGGGCGCGTGGAGCATGTGCGCAAGGCTATTTTTGCATGGGTAGTGCATGTCCGGAACTGCCACACCAGCGCTCCACTGCTTGCGTCCAGCCGACATGGTACCCGGATAGGCGCTCTTTGGAGATTACGTTTGATCCGAAATGGCTGGCGCACTACTCTCTCACTTTGCACAGTCGTCTCGTCAAGCCTGAACGAACAATGCAGTCACACAGAACGAGCCAGACTGTCGATGGTTTCCTCTCGCCCCAACTTACCTCGTGTCTCTAGTGGTGGTTACTCACACGCACTCTGCGCAGCCAAAGTATTCTTTTGCTTTTCTGTCTATCAAGAGACCGGACGAAAATGTTGGATTGTGGGCGCACCTACGAAGCGTAAGTTCTCGGCTGTGGTCATACGACTCACAGCTGTGTAGCCCAGGCCGGGCTGCGCGTGTGGGGAATCGAAATACACCACTGCAGCCGCCAAGCTCATGCCCTGGGCTTTGTGGATGGTCATGGCGTAGCCTCCCGTCACCGAAAAGGCTGCGCGGCATATGCCGCGGACCCAGCGATGTGTCAACGGCAAAGACGCCAAGCGCCCATCATGGAGCTGCAAGACCAACACCGTCGGGCGAGATGCTCAAGACCAAGGCCACATGCCCGTTTACCAGGCCTTTTTCCACATCTTTATTCAGAGTAATCATGATACGTGCCTCGTGAAATAGTTGCAAGGACTCGATGCTGCGATGCTGTGGGTCCCAAACTCTGACGTGTTGCGCAGACGGATTGTTTATAGACAGACTATCGCTGGCCAACTTGTTCACCAAAGGCGCGCCTTTGCTCGTGACCGTCAGCACTGTTGGCCACGAGTTCGGCCCAGGCGCCAAAAGCTGTTGCACCAGCTCGAGTGTCATTGCGGGCGCCAGCATTTTGCCTTCGCAGAAAAGTCGGAGCTTGTCTGGCAACCAAAGAGATGGCAGACGCAGGACACTTAAGCTCACGTATGATGCCTTCGTTATCCATTTGGTGTATTTGGTCTGAGATATCACAGTCAGCAATGTGAGCAAAGTATGCAACTGCGGAGTCAAACTTTTCCCCTCCCAAGCCACTGTAGCCATCAACATGGAAGCACGCATCGGGGTACACATGAAAGACAGAGCGCAAAACTGCCCTCACAACTCCCAGCAACGACACGATCCTTCAAGTATGTCATGTTAAGTTTCGGGGTCACTAAGGAAGGAGAGGGTTCTCCGCGTGCCTCAAAACTACGCGCATGCACACACTCCAGCAGCACGGCCAACGACTTGACCCTCGGCGAAGAGAAGGCGTCCCCTCAAAGTTCTTACCTCGTCTAAGAAGGCCCTCAGTGGCATCAGGCAAGGCTGCAAAGGCACAAGCATTGGCTCCAAAGGGTAGGACATTCGAGCGATACGCCTCCGGTTCGCCTGTGTCAGGGTGCCACTATGAAGTCCACGGAACGCACACAAATGGACGCTTCACGCGAGTTAGTCATGTTCATCAAGGACTCTGTGGCCTCAACGATTGGTCAGCCCTTCTTGGCTGGAAACACATCTTCGCCCGTTGAGGATTGCGATGCACCAAAGCGTCGGGTCAAGCAAGCTTGAGGGGGGAGTTGCTCGAGGGTGAAAGGGGCCGAGAGCCACCCTTTTTCAAGTTCCTCAACACTTGCACACCGCTTGGGTGACCTCAGCAACGCCGGCTTGTCTGCTCGAATGCAAAATAGCTTTACGGGCAGGCTCTGCAAGCTTGCGCACCTGGTCAGGCGTAAGAGTTGCAAAGAAAGACTTGGCTGGGAAAAACCGGATGATGGGATTTTTCCCATGCCCATTCGCCATGTTATCAACCAAATCAACATCAGGGTGCCCTGACTCACGAATCATCTCACCAAAAACCAAGAGGCGTTTGCACTTAAGGATCTTTTGACAATGGGCGGGCAACTTTGTAGGCCGCTTCCTCATTGACAAGTTCTTTGGTTCTCAGAAACCATCGCCTCATGATGGCTGTGCGATCTTTTGCGAAGTTTGCAGGGAAGGTGCCTACATTTTCCTGGATGGCGAGTTTGAGGCGAGAAGGAACCCCAGCTAGGAAGAATATGGGATGCCGATTCCCCGCTGTCATGGCGATGAACCCCTCCGGCTTCCAAGGGGTTCCAACAGTGGCTTTGACACGCGCGCGGGAGCCGACGGGCAGAACAGACATGTAAGGCTGGCGCTGCGCATCGGAATACTCTTCAGTGGACCAAGCGCGCGCGAGCTTGGCATTGGGGCCAGGAGGCGTGGATTGCTTGAGGCAGCACGACTACCGTTTAAAACTGAGGAACCAAAGGCGGATATAAAATTTTCGTGCACACGGCCTCGGGCCTGCTGCAGATCATACTGGTCTAAGCTGGCACAGCGCCCAAACGAAGCAAAGTTTCCACAAGAACCCTACCATATGCGTCGCAGAACGGTTGCCATCAACACAGCCCCAGCGAGCATGAGCGTGGTCGTTGTCACACAAAACACACAGCTGGCAAACAAGGAGCGCAGATTATGCATAAGCTGAGTATGTTTATGTCGTGAACTGCTATACATAGAGCGGTCCGCCAGAAGAGGCTTCTGGCGGGGTTTTCCACGGTTGCAATGAGATTGGCCTTTTGGCAATAGGCCCACACTTCGCCGGTTAGGCGATAAAGCCTGCTTGCAGTTGACACCCGGAGTTCGTCAGGATACCGATCACTTCTGAGGGGCTGTGGGTCAGGACCCTTTCTACGGCGCAGGCGATGCAGTGCCGCAGGGAAGGGGCTAAATGGACCGCTATCAGATTCCTGGGGCCTGAAACGACTAAAAACAAATGGTTGCTTTGTCCCACGGCCGTTCTTGACTCACTTCAGCCGAAACTGGCCAGAATCTGCATGGCAGGGATGTACTCACAGCCGGTAATATGACTTGCAGCCCAGTCTAAGCAAAAATAGTAAGTCCATATGACAAATAAGGAGCACAACAAAAGAAGCGGGAAACCTCAGTTTGTCGCCATGTGTTTGCCAATATGGATGACGCGCCTAGGTTCCTTCGCTGTGGGGACCAACGTTTCTTCAATGCTAAAACTGCGAACCGAAAAGGAACATATTTGGTAAAAGGCCCATGCAAAGTGTCTTCTTCAACGCTTGCATGCCAAAGTCATGCCAACGTTGCACTGAAATGGTGAACCGCGGGGCTTGTACCCAAAACGAGCAAATTTACTGTTGTCCCAACACACGCGGCTTAGAAAACACGTACTTTGGGACACCACAAAAAAAACACAAACAACACCGATTGCAGTCAGCTATAGTTGACCTAAGTAGGACAGCTTCGACTTTTAGATTCTGGATGTTGCAAGGGTCCTACGCATAAAATAAAGAACTGCCCTTTTTCGATTATTTTTCGATTGGTGAACGCTGCGTATTCGAAGAACGTATTTCGATCCAACCATCCTGGGTCTGTCGCATTCGAGCTCAGGTTGATTGGCCAATCACTGTTTTTGGTCGACATTGATTTATCGAATCAACTGTTCTTACCCGCGCAACGCCCATTCTTACCCGCGCAACGCCCATTCTTACCCATGCAAACGACCAGATTCAAAAAGCCGCGTTATTCGGATCTCAAATTGTGTTTGATCGGCATCGAATCCAATTTTGCCCGGTCGCTTTCGAAAGGTGGCTATCGAAAGGGGGCTCGAAATAGGCTTTCAAAGGGGGCTTTCAAAAAGGGGCCTTCAAAAGGGGGCTTTCGAAGTCGGGCGCTGAGAAGGTTTCGAAAGGCGGCTTTCGAAAGGGGGGTTCGAAAGTTCGAAATAGGCTTTCAAAGGGGTCTTTCAAATGGTTTGAAAGGGGCTTTCGAGAGGTTGCTTTCGAAAGGGGTTCCAAAGAGGCTTTTTCGATGTTTCCGAAAAGGGGCTTTCGAAAAATATGTTGCCTTCGAATGTGGCATTATTCGAGAGCAGGCTGCGTATCAAATGGCAGAACTGATTGCGTGCGAGGAAAAAGGCCAAGAGAGCTTCAAATCAAAGAGCTTTGAGTTGGACAATTGTGGGATCAGTCAAGCCCTGGTACGCTTTCAGAAAGCTGGCATGCGCCATCGATCATGGGTTCCTAGACTTTTCAAACAACTGGACGCAGTAGCAAAGCTTTTGCATTATTCCTTGAGCGTTCGCAGAAAAGAGGCTGCGGCTGAAGTGCCGCACAAAATCTCGAAACTTAATTCAGTCATCCGACTCTCCGGAAACGGCCGTGTTTGGAGCAAACGGCCGTTCTCACATGTCCCACTTCTGGACGACTATTTAGATTTGGTCTTTTGGGGTTCCAGGTTGGGGGGCGCCAAGAACTGCCACAGAAGTTCTTGACCCTCCGCTGTGTTCAAGTCCAGCTTGACTGTGGGTGATCTCACAAGCCTATGCGCAGTGCTCTCTATGCCAAAGCTGTCGTCGCCTAACACAGGCGCACAACGTGCCTGTCCCTGAGAAAACTTCACGCCCTGAATTCTGTCGCGTTTAGCTGGCTGAACAGTGATGCGTGCAGGCAAGGGTCTCTGCAGCTTCGCATTTCCCTCACATTCAATGTTGCCCGCTTTGCTTGAGCGTTTCCTCAAGAAAGGCGTTGCGCCTGGCGGGAATGCGAGTGAAAAAAGAATCTGGCGAGCGAGCTGGACACACATCAGCGTCCACCTCGCCCGCTCCCGCTTGCATGCCTCGCCGGGCTTGGCAAGCTTGCAACCCTTTGCCGGGTTGAAGTTCCAACAGATTCTTTCTCCATCGGCCGTGTTGGATTTCAACCCCTGCAACTCCTTCGGCATCTTCAACATGCCACTAGCAAGACCCATGGACTTGCCCTTTCCACGACCTTTGGCCTTCGCTTGCCCCCTAGGTGTTTTTACGCTTCTCTGCGGAGCCACCCTTCGAACTCGACGGCAAGGGCAGCAGATAGAGCATGACGGCGCGGTCGTTTGGCGAGTTAAGGGCCCACTTCCAAGGGTCGGCTGCCACCAGGCTGACGTCTCCAAGACGCGACCTTTTCTGCACGGATCCACGCTTGTCGGTTGGTCTTCGCGGGGCTTGTTTGAAAACCCACCCACGCCACCCTCTTTGAGAAAGCAACGTGGTTCAAGAGGTCATGTTCTCTGGTGTTCAACCAGACCAGTTGTTTCATGCTTGCATCCTTGTGAAGAACGCCGCAGGCTTATGTTTCTTGCAAGCGCAAACAGCTGGCCAACGCGCTCAGATTTCCAACAAGTTGCCAGTCGAGACCAGACTGGTGACATTTCCTGCGTGTTGCAACCACTTTACCCAAAGTCAAATTGGCTGTTCGGCGCCAGCGAAAGATAAACAAACTCCATCAACCTACGGTTGAGCTACGTCATCCAAACCAATTGGGGTGTACCGGACAGTCTTTTTAGGAACACATCCTGCGCCCTAGAGCATTCGCCAATATCTGGGAGTGTCTGGGTATAACCCTCTGGAAAGGAAAACGGGGTTGTTTTAGTCGGAGTCGGACCCAATCGATAAGACCACTTGAACTTCTGCTCCTTTAGAAGTAGAGGCTAGCTCATTCACCCAAAAGCTGACACGCTTTG